CTGTTCTGCTCCTCCACCTCAGGGCTTCAATGCTTCCGTGCCTTCAGGGTCAAGTGTAAGGTGTTTTTTGTTTTTTGTTTTTTGTTTTTTTTTTTTTTAGATTTATTTTATTTATTTGAAAGAGTTACACAGAGAGAGAGGTAGGTTTTCCATCCTCTGGTTCACTCCCCAAATGGCCACAATGGCCAGAGCTGTGCTGATCCGAAGCCAGGAGCCGGGAGCTTCCTCCGGGTGTCCCATGTTGGTGCAGGGGCCCAAGGACTTGGGTCATCTTCTACTGCTTTCCAGGCCACAGCAGAGAGCTGGATCGGAAGTGGAGCAGCTGGGGCTTGAACTGGTGCCCACGTGGGATGCCGGCACTGCAGGTGGCAGCTTTAAACCCCTGAGCCTCAGCGCTGGCCCCCAAGCGTAAGTTCTTGAAGACGGAGCCCCTCGACATCCGGCCCTGCTGGTCTTGGTTGCTTTGCTTCTCACTGCCGCCCTCGTGCGGTAGGCAACGGACAGCCGGACCTGGAGTGACAAGGACACTGGTGTTTGCAGGCACAGGAGCCACGTGTCAGGGAGCCTGGCTGTCTCAGCCACTGCTGGGAACTTGGCCTGTGTCGGTGCTTGCGAGCCTTGCGACGGCTCTAGGAGACTGGATGTTCAAGTGGGGGCAACAGGTGGATCAGAGCGGCCATGGCGCCAGCTGACGGCCCTGCAGGAGGTCGCATTGTCACCGCAGAGGTGCAGGAGCACGCCCCGTCACACGGCAGGCAGCGGTGAGAGCTGCTGGCTCTATGGAGCGTGGCCGTGCGGGAAGGCCTCCTCTCCCACGACCAGGGCCTGGCCCCTGCACCGTGCCACCTGCTCGTCCCAGGAAGGCCAGGAAGGCTCACCCTCCAAGGGTGTTTCCCGTCCTGCACCTCTTCACTGCCACAGGGCGGTGTTTCTAGCTCCCTTCTGGGCTCCGAGAGGACACTGCCTCTCCCGAGAGCACAGGGGAGGGCTGTGGCTCTCAACCTTGGCTGGGGGCTTGACAAACTAGATGCCCAGGCCCCGCCCCCAGCTGTTTGGATTCCTTTGGCCCAGGGTGAGGCCGGGGGTGCCTGGGGCAGCCTGAGCTGCCTGCTCGCTCCCTTGCTGGGCAGCTACAGCGGGAGGAGTCGGAGCTGGAGGCTGAGTGGACGCATCCTACGGGGCCACAGGTGCTTCCCAGGTGACAGGTGCAGGTGCACCGGAGGCGTCCCCTCCCCACATGCGAGGGCCCAGGCCCTTCTCACTCCATCGTAGGCGTCCACCCCTCTGTGCCCATGCCTGCCACAATGGGCGGCACCGGGAATGCGGCCCTCGCTGCCAAAGTGCCCGGTGCGTACAAACGAGTCGTTGGGCTTGACGACTCATTGTGGGGCTCATTGGCCATGTAAATTCTAATGTGACAGACAGACGCTGCAGCACGAGTACCCCGAGGGGGAGACAGGCTCACAGCTCCCGGAGCCGCTCGGTATTGCTGTCTTTCAGGAGCACACAGGGAGTTTCTGACGGCTCTTGAACATTTTTATTTTTTTAAATTTATTTTTAAAAGATTATTTATTGTGGGGCCGGTGCTGTGGACAGCGGGTTAACGCCCTGGTCTGCAGCGCCAGCATCTCATATGGGCACCAGTTCAAGCCCCAGCTGCTCCTCTTCCAATCCAGCTCTCTGCTATGGCCTGGGGAAGCAGTAGAAGATGGCCCAAGTCCTTGGGCCCCTGCACCCGCGTGGGAGACCTGGAGGAGGCTCCTGGCTCCTGGCTTCGGCCGTTGCGGCCATCTGGGGAGGTAGCCAGCGAATGGAGAACCTCTCTCTGTCTACCTCTCTCTGTAACTCTGTCTTTCAAATACATAAATCTTTTTTAAAAAAGATTATTTGTTGAAAGGCAAAGCAACAGGGAGAAGAAGAGAGAGGTGGAGAGGGGAGGGAGGGAGGGAGACTCCTCCATGCACTGGTTCACTCCCCAAAGGCCCCATAGCCAGGTCTGGGTCAGGCTGCAGCCAGGAGCCTGGAACTCCACTCTGGTCTTCATGTGGGTGGCAGAGGCCCGAGCACTTGGGCCACCCTCTGCCGCTTTCCCAGGGTGCGAGAGCGAGGAGCTGGGTGGGAAGTGGAGCAGCCAGGGAACCGGTTTAGCCGCTGCGCCACAACGCCGCCCACGGTCACTGTCTGGGGGGGCAGCTCGGGTGCTCTGCGGATGTCCCTCGGTCAGGGTCGGCGGCTCCTTCTCGTGAGTGGGCCTGGTGACGAGCTGCTGGAGAGGACCGAAGAAGAATCCTCCGGCGTCATCAAGGGTCCCCCCATCCGCGGGCCCTGGGACGCTGACCTGGGCTCCTGCCCAAGTTACCTCTGAGTTTCTGGACTCAGCCGTAGCTCTTTTCCCTTCCTTCTGGGAGGAGGCCACTAGGCCCCGCCCATGAGGAAGGATGGCCACTAGGCCCCGCCCACAAGGAGGGATGGCCACTAGGCCCCGCCCACGAGGAGGGATGGCCACTAGGCCCCGCCCACAAGGAGGGATGGCCACTAGGCCCCGCCCACGAGGAGGGATGGCCACTAGGCCCCGCCCACGAGGAGGGATGGCCACTAGGCCCCGCCCATGAGGAGGGATGGCCACTAGGCCCCGCCCATGAGGAGGGATGGCCACTTAGGCACCACCTCTTCAAAAAAATTTTAAAGATTTATTTATCTGAAAGTCAGAGTTGCACATAGAAGGAGAGGCAGAGAGAGAGAGAGAGAGAGAGGTCAGTCTTCCATCCACTGGTTCACTCCCCAATTGGCTGCAATGGTCTGAGCTGCGCCGATCTGAAGCCAGGAGCCAGGAGCTTCTCCTGGGTCTCCCATGTGGGTATAGGGAGGGGCCCAAGGACTTGGGCCATCTTCTACTGCTTTCCCAGGCCATAGCAGAGAGCTGGACTGGAAGAGGGGCAGCCAGTACTCAAACCGGCGCCCATACGGGATGCCGGCATTGCAGGCAGTGGCTTTACTCGACACGCCACAGCGCCGGCCTCTAATTTTTTTTTAAAAGATTTTATTTACTTATTTGAGAGGCAGAGTTACAGGTGGAGAGAGAGAGAGAGACAGGTCTTCATCTACTGGTTCAGTCCCCAAATGGCCATAACAGGCAGAGGTGGGCTGATCCGAAGCCAGGAGCTTCTTCCAGGTCTCCCATGTGGGTGCAGGGGCCCCAGCACTTGGGCCATCTTCTACTGCTTTCCCAGGCCACAGCAGAGAGCTGGATCGGAAGAGGAGCAGCCGGGACTCAAACCGGCGCCCAAATGGGTGCTGGCATCGCAGGCGGAGGCTTAGCCTGCTACACCACAGCGCCAGCGCCGGCCCACCTCTTCGGGAAGGAAATCCCTGGTTCTTCACGGCTCATGGAAATGGAATGAATATAACCCTCGTCTGGGAGAGCCCTCCCCTCCCCATGCACCACCTAGAACCCTGTTGGGCATCCGTCTCCGCCCCATTCCTTCACGTGTTCAGTCATGGGCGTCATGGGCTCGGGTCATCACCCAACACTGCTGGGCCCAGAGTCCAGCTGTGGCTCCTGGGAGCTGTCCGCCCTCAGACACTGGCCCGACGCTGGGCCCCGGCTTCCGTCCGCCTGCCTTGAGCACCTCCTCACTCCCTGATGCACCACCTGTGTGCCTTGCGCGGACTCCGTGCCCGGTGCTGCGGGGCGAGGCGCTTCCCGGCCTCCTGGGTGGGCGGGGCGAGGAGACCCTGTAAGGTGCACGCACACCCCCAGAGGAGGATTTCTCTTATGGGTGCACGGACCAGGAAGTGGAGCCCCCCGGCTTGGGAACCGACAACACTCCCCCGCCAATGAGAACTCAGACAACACGGGCAGGGACTGAGGCTTCCCCTGCCCCCACAGCACCTGGACACGGAGGAGCCACCGAGGCTGAGCCGCTCACCGGCCGTCGCCGCACCATCCGTGGGGCGTCTGTCCATGCACGACCCAGGCCACGTAACTCCGGGTGAAACCCCAGCTCTGCCAATTCACCTGGCGAGCAGGGGTTGTCCAGGCCGTGGGCGCGGCCGGAGCCTACCGATGGCCTTGTTCCAGTTTTCCTGCAAGGGCAGGTTTCTGGGGTCAGAGAGGAGAGCCCTGGCCTCGCTGGGGTGGAGCAGGTAACCCAGACGCACAGCCCTGGAATGCTGCTCGGGGCCTGGGGTCAGCCTGGGCGGCTGGGGTCCACGCCCGTGCCTGCTGCTCCACCTCGCAGGAACTGGCCGCGTCGGCCTCGCTCTGGCCCTGGCCACAGTGCAGCTTTCCGTCCTCATTGCGCATGCCCGAGCCTGGGTTCCCCAGGAGCTGAGAATGGTCCAGCGATTCGGACACAGGTGGACTTGCAAACACTGCCCGTTGCCCCACGCCCGGTATAGGGGCACCTTGTCCCACGAAGGGAGCTCAGAGGGGTCGTGGCACGCGCAGTGCTGTGTATTTTGGTGGAAAAGACGCTGGACAAGGGTCCTTCGCAGAGTTCCCGGAACATGGGCCCGACCACTAAGTGAGGCGTGGCTTTCAACACGGCACCCAAAAAAACTGGGTTTTTCACGTCACTTCCGCGGGCTTCTGGCAACAGCCTTACTTGCCCGGGGGTGCAAACTCGCCCCATTCAGGGGTCTCACCGGGGGTCCTCGCCAGCGCCCAAAGGCTGAGCCCTCTCGCGGGCTGAGGAATCTGTATTTTTACAGACTTGGAACCAGTGAGGACCAGTTAAGCCGCCGTCTGCTGGGCTGGGGCACGCCGCGCCCCGGGGCTCGGCCCAGTACGCGTGTCTACTTGGGGGCCCGTGAGGAACGTCTGTGTAGACGCGGCCCAACCCCGCCCCGCAGCGCTCCACGCCAGGTGTGCCAGGTGCGCCAAGTGCGCCAAGTGCGCCAAGTGCGCCAAGTGCGCCGCCCGGGGAAGGGCGAGGAGCGCCGCGAGCCCCGGGGCGGGGCGGGGCGGGGCGGGGCCGGCGTGCGGGGGCGGGGCCGGCGCGGCGTCGCCGGGCTCGCCAATCCGCAGGCTCGCAGCAAGCACGGTCCCGCCTCGCTGCGGAGAGCGCCGCGCTCCGATTGGCCGCCGCGGCTGTCTTCCGCCGGGGGCGGGCCCTGAGCCGTGGCGGGAAAGCGGCGAGGGCGGCCGTGTCTGCTGCCGGACGCTGAGGGCGGGAGGAGCCCGGGGGACCTGGGCCGGCCGCTCGCGAGGCCATGGACGCGGCCGAGGTGGAGTTTCTGGCCGAGAAGGAGCTGGTGACCATCATCCCGAACTTCAGCCTGGACAAGATCTACCTCATCGGGGTAGGGGCCCTCGGGCCCGCCGGGCTGTCCGCGGCGGGGCGCGGGGCGGGGCCGGCCGCCCGAGCTCGGGGTGGGGGCGTCCGGGGGCCAGGGAGCGGCTCGGGCTGCCTCCCGGTTCCCCGACCGTGGGAGGGGGCGTCCGCGGCGGGGCGGGGGTTGCGGGGCCGGCCGCCCGAGCTCGGGGTGGGGGCGTCCGGGGGCCGGGGAGCGGCTCGGGCTGCTTCGCGGGTCCCGGGCGGGAGAGGAGGGCCTGACCGTGGGAGGGGGCGGCTCTCCGCCCTGACGGCGCGTCGCCTCGGCAGGGGGACCTGGGGCCGTTCCACCCCGGCCTGCCCGTGGACGTGCCGCTGTGGCTGGCGCTGAACCTGAAGCAGAGACAGAAGTGCCGCCTGCTGGCCCCCGCCTGGATGGACGCGGGTAAGCGGCGCCCCGCGCCGGGGGCTCGTGCGGGCGGGTGAGCCCCTCGCCGCCGGCGTGTCCGACGCCCACAGCCCGCGGGGCCCCGCAGGTGCACTTGTTGGTCTCCGAGACGAGGCCGCTGGCGGGGCCCGGCGTGGGCGGGGAGGGAGGCCCCGCTGGGAGGCCCCGAGGCCCTGGGAGCTTTGCGCGACCCCGTGTGAGAGCGGGACCCCCGGCTCTGTGGGGACACAGCGGGCTAGCGCTCGCCCAGAGGACTTCGGGCTTTGTTCGTGGCGCGATGGGAGTGTTCTAAAATGGAGGTGACGAGTGCACGGCGCTCAGATACTAAAAACATTGTTTTGTCCACTTTTTCCCGCTTGAGACTTTTTTTGACAGGTAGAGTTAGAGCCAGAGAGAGAGAGAGAGAAAGGTCTCCCTTCCGTTGGTTCACCCTCCAATGGCTGCCGCGGCCAGTGCACCGCGCTGATCTGATGGCAGGAGCCAGGTGCTTCTCCTGGTCTCCCATGGGGTGCAGGGCCCAAGCACTTGGGCATCCTCCACTGCCCTCCCTGGCCACAGCAGAGAGCTGGCCTGGAAGAGGGGCAACCGGGACCGAATCCGGCGCCCCGACCGGGACTAGAACCCGGTGTGCCAGCGCCGCAGGCGGAGGGTTAGCCTAGTGAGCCGCGGCGCCGGCCCCATGACTTACTTGTTTGAAAGGCACAATGACACATCTTCTGTCTGCTGGCTCACTCCCCAAATGGCTGCAACAGTCAGGCTGGGCCAGGCCGAACCTGAAGCCAAGAAGTACATCCGGGTCTCACATGGGTGGCAGGGACCCAAGTACTTGGACCGTCTTCTCCCGCCTTCCCAGGCGCATTAGCGGGGAGCTGGATCAGAAGCAGAGCGGGCGAGACTCGGACCAGCTTTGGGACATGGGATGCTGGCGCGGCACTTGGCTTAACTCGCTGTGCCACAGCTCCGGCCCCGTGCGTCGCGTTAATGGTGCCTCAGGATAGCTGCTGGTAACAGAAAATGCATCGGTGCTGGCATTGTGTAGCGAGTGGAGCAGCTGCCTGCTGGCCGGCCGCCCCGGAATGCTCGTGTGAGTCCCGGCTGCTCCGCTTCAGATTCACCTCCCTGCCGATGGCCTGAGAGGAGCGGCAGAGATGGCCCAAGTGTTGGGGCCCCTGCCACCCATGCGGGAGACCCAGAGGAAGCTCCTGGCTGTGGCCTGGCCCAGCCCTGGCCATTGTGGCCATCTGGGGGGTGAACCAGCAGATGGACAATCTCTGTCTCTCCCCCTCTTCTAGCTTTCAAATCTTTAAATAAAATGCATCAGTCACAGGTTGCGTCTGGAGCCCTGGCAGTTCTGCGCCTCTAGCGGATGTGAGTGGCTCATTACAAAAGAAGATTTTATTTGTTGTTGGAGGGGTGCGAGCAGGCCTGTAGAACTCGGGGACCCCGCGTGGGTTGGGAACTGTGTTTCGTTTCATTTGAAAGGCGGTGATTTTCCTTCTGTGGTCCATACCCCGGGTGGCTGCAGCGGACGGGGCTGGCTCAGGCCAGAGCAGAAGCCCGGAACCCAGTCCAGCTCTCCAGCCCTGGG